GGCAGAGGCAGAGGCAGAGGCAGAGGCAGAGGCAGAGGCAGAGGCAGAGGCAGAGGCAGAGGCAGAGGCAGAGGCAGAGGCAGAGGCAGGTGGATCTCTGTGAGTTCAAGGCCAGCCAGGTCTACAGAGTGAGTTCTAGGGCAGCCAAAATTACACACAGAGAAACTGTTTCAATAAACAAACAAACAAACAAACAAACAAAGAAGCTCAAAATAACACGTGGAAGGTTAATGCAGTAATGTAAACTAATAGAAAATCATCTAAACTGATTTCAGACATTTTTGTTCAATTTTTACTGGCATAGACATAGGTAAAGCTCTAAGACCAAGCCATTATTATAGCATTAGTCAAAATCAGTATCAAAAAAGGATATTTTCTTTTTACTGATAAATGTGTTTAAAAGTAGGTATTTCCTCACCTTGAAGAATGAGATTCTAGAAACTGGCGGAAATGTTCAAATTCCAGTTTGTTGTTAAGTAGATCATTAAAGGTAAAATGCTTGTATTCCTCGGGAACATTACTCCAATATTCTGTTTGTTTGGAGATATCAGAGAGCGACAGCATGGCAGTTGCAGTGGTGTCCTAGTGACAAAAACACTTAGTTATTTACAGTTTTAAACAGGGAAACTGAAAGAAAATTTAACTACTGGGCCATTGGAGGAACTGGGTAAGTGACCTGGTTGTTCCCATCTGACTCTCAGAGTCTTTTCTGTTCCTTTTTAATGATATTCAGCAAACACCTACTACACATAAACAAAGGACTCTGTGTGCATGTGTGTGAGCACAAGTTCACAAAGGTACTCAGGTGTAAATATATTTGCTTTCAAATATTACTTTTATTTCTTAGTAAAGAGGAAATGCTGCTTGTAATAAAAGATTAAATCATAAAGAGAGGTGATCAAAGAGCAGGCCAATCAGTTCATGTCAGAGACAGTCCCTGTTCCTATTACAGTGGAACCCACTTGGATACTAAACTGCCATGGGCTACATCTGTGCAGGGGTCTTGGGTTATCTCCATGCATAGTCCTTGGTAGGAATAACAGTCTCAGGAAAGACCCCTGTGCTTAGAATTTTGGTTCTGTTGCTCTCCTTGTGGAGTTCCTGTTCTCTCCAGATCTTACTGTTTCCCACTTCTTTCATAAGATTCCCTGCATTCTGCCCAAAGGTTGCCCTTAAGTCTCAGCATCTGCATTGATAGTCTGCAGGGCAGAGCCTTTCAGAGGTCCTCTGTGTCAGGCTTCTGACTTGTTCCCTCTTTTCTCCTTCTTGAGATGTCTATCCTCTTTGCCTTTCTGGATAGGGATTGAACATTTAGCAAGAGTCCTCCCTCTTGATTAGTTTCTTTAGGTGTACAGATTTTAGTAGGTTTATCCTATATTATATGTCTATATGAGTGAGTATATACTGTGTGCGTCTTTCTGCTTCTGGGATAGCTCACTCAAGATGATCTTTTCCAGATCCCACCATTTACCTGCAAATTTCATGATTTCCTTGTTTTTTATTGCTGAGTAATATCCCATTGTGTAGATGTACCACAATTTCTGTATCCATTCCTCCACTGAGGGGCATCTGGGCTGTTTCCAGCTTCTGGCTATTACAAATAAGGCTGCTACAAACATGGTTGAGCAAATGTCCTTATTGTGTACTTGAGAATCTTTTAAGTATATGCCTAGGAGTGGTATAGCTGGACCTGAGTGCTATTCCTATTTGAGGAAGCTCCAGATTGCTTTCCAGAGTGGTTGTACAAGTTTACATTCCCACCAGCAGTGGAGGAGGGTTCCCCCACTTCTGTTTTTATTTGCCCTAAAGCTCTCCTGTTGTCTCACAGTGGGATGAATCATTTATTCTGTTCGATGGTGAAGTAAGAGAGCTCACTTTGTAGTTCATTAAGTGAAAAGTCTGCTGAGGTAGAGTTAGATGCAACTCAAAAGTAAATGACATTTTGGAAATAAAAAATAGTAAATAGTTTAAAATGCTAGCATTCCTTGCCCTTAAGAAAAGAGGTGGGGAAGGAATCTGTCAGTAACATGTGCTTTTAGAGTAAATGGAAAACATTTGCACACTGGAAGAATACTGAAGTCATTTATGTCCTGTCACTTTATTTGGTGGTAGAAATTTTATTAGCCTATTTCTATTTTCCTATTAAAGACTCTTACATTTAAGGATAGGGGAAGGAAACTTTCTGTCTGGAAACAAAGGACTATGTTTAATAACCAGAGTGTTTGATGTTTAATATTCAGCATTAAAAATGCTTGGGGAGAGCTGGGAAGATGGCTCAGCAGATATGAGTTCTTGTTGCACAAGCATGAGGACTCCAATTTGAATCCCTGATGTCACCATAAAAAGCTGGGTATGGCTATGTGTGTGCCTACAACCCTGAGCACAGTGGTGGGCAGAAGTAGGATCACTGGGGCTTGTGTGCTGCCAGCCTCTCTCAACCAATAGTGAGAGACAATCTCAAAGAAGTGAATTGGAGGGTGATAGTGCAGGGCAGACACCCAGCATTATCCTGTGCCTCTGCATACTTGGGCACATGTACATGTGCAGGCACCACATACACAAAGGGACATCTGGGTTGTTTCCAGGTTCTGGCTATTACAAATAAAGCTGCTACAAACATGGTTGAGCAAATGTCCTTATTGTGTACTTGAGCCTCTTTTGGGTATATGCCTAGGAGTGGTATGGCTGATCTTGAGGAAGCGCTATTCCTAGTTGTCTGAGAAGTGCCAGATTGATTTCCAGAGTGGTTGTACTACTTCCTCCTTATCTAGCACCAACCACATCTAATTTTCACCTCCCTATTTGTTTTTAAAACTGTGCAGGCAGATAAACTACCAATATTTCAAAGAGTAATGTGCCTTTTAAGGAAAGGTTATGTATAGTATTATAACTTTTGCTCCTGAAGCTTAAAATACAATATTATTATGTACTACCTTTATGAATGCTTATGTACTTCCCAAGTTTTAATTAATGGTACATCAAATAGAGAACTTTTATACCAAAAAGCAACTATTGAGGTTTTATTTTGTAAAACTCTAATTTTGAAAAACATAAAAATAGAAACTTCAGTTAAACACAAAAATGAAACTAAAAATCAACTGAAACCCACCATTCAGAATTCCCTGTCCTATTTTGGTGAACTTCTTCTCTCATATCTCTTTTTGCATATATGTACAGATGTGTAAATATATGTAGCATAAGTAGGATCACATGATATGAGTGAGGGGCTGCTTGGTTTTTTTGAGACAGGTCTCTCTGTGGAGCCCTGGCTGTCCTGGAACTCTCTTTGTTGACCCAGCTGGCCTAGAACTCACAAAGCTCCACCTGCCTCTGCTTCCTGAGTGCTGAGATTACAGGTGAGAGGTATGTGCCACCACACCAAGCTTGACATTAGTGTTTTGATTCCATATATTTTTATATAACTGTATGCCCTGAACAGGTCAATTAACTGCAACTTTTATACAGATGCATACATTTAATGTTATGGTGTTATGGACCTATCATGATTTATCTAATCAATACAAAACTTGAAGATTTGAGCTGGGCATGATGACACAGACATGTTATATCTCCCAGTCCTTAAGAGGCAGTGTCAGGAGGAGGATGAGCTCTGTGTCATCCTCAGCTATGTACTAGGTAAAGGCCATTTTGGTTTACATGAGACCATCGAAAAACAAACAAACAAATAAATAAATAAATGTCACAATTTTGTAAATAAAAATAAAAGCTAATTTCCTAACCAATCCTTAATCTTTTACTGACTTTTCCAAATATTTTCTGTTTTGTTTTCCTTTTCAAAGTCTGTTGCTATAAACATGAGAGTTTCTTTTTGTTCAGAAAATGCACTGAACTCTTTTAATTTGACAAAAAAATAATTTCTGATATGCAGAAATTAATGGGTACCACTTAAAGGACTATTTTCTGGTTTAAGGCTTAAGTTCCTGGTCTTAAGGAGGAGGAACACAGGACAGGAGCCTACCACAGAAGACCCCTGGAAGACTACCCAGCAGATGCTGAGACTCATAACCAAACTTTGGGCAGAGTGCAGGGAATCTTATGAAAGAAGGGAGAGATAGAAAGACCTGGAAGGGACAGGAGCTCCACAAGGAGAGCAGCAGAACCAAAATATCTGGGCACAGGAGTCTTTTGTGAAACTGACACTCACCCCAAGGTCCATCCATGGAGATAAGCTAGAACCTCTGCACAGATGTTGCCCATGGCAGCTCAGTGTCCAAGTGGGTTCCCTAATAAGGGGAACAGGGACTGTCTCTGATATGAACTCAGTGGCTGGCTCTTTGACCCCTCCTCCCCCCAGGGAGGAGCAGCCTGACCAGGCCACAGAGAAGACAATGCAGCCAGTCCTGATGAGACCTGATAAGCTAGGGTCAGATGGAAGGGGAGGAGGACCTCCCCTATCAGTGGACTTGGAGAGAGGCATGAGAAGGAGATGAGGGAGAGAGAGTGGGATTGGGAGGGAATGAAGGAGAGGGCTACAGCTGGGATACAAAGTGAATAAACTGTAATTAATATAAAAAATAAAAATTAAAAAAAGAAAAAGGAACAAATGGCATGGTTTCCTTTGTCACTTCAACTTGGTTTTTCCAGCTGTGTTGAACATGTCATGATAACATTGTAACCTATCAAAGGCAGCAAACATGCTAGCAAAGGGAGAACAGGATGGCACTTCTGAGCCACCATTTCACTAACATGCAGCTCACTATAAGATCTTTAATCAGCAGTATAAAATATGGTAACTATGACTAGGATTCCAAACAGCGATTTTTCTAAGGACAGAGTGCCTTACCTCAGCCTTCTTGGAAACTGTTTCTTTATGCAAAGCACGTAGCCGTCTGAAGGATGTAGAATCTAGCTGCCGAGTCTCTTCCTGTAGTTCCACCTGAAAAACAACGAAACTTAAAATACTAGTAGAACATACATTGTGGAAAAATGGGCAGCAGACGCACAGTTTACAAAAAACAGTGAGCTTTTGCTAAGAAGTCAAATTGCTTTTGAGGCAAGAGCAGAAATCCCCATGTCATTAAAAATATTAGCTATACTTATAAAATATAAGTGACACATCAAATATACACAAGAAAGAATGAACACTTTCTATTTAAGGACACAGCTGCTGTCAAGGAATCCCTTCCCTCTGGGCACACACAGAAAAGGTAAATAAGTTGATCACATTTTCAGTTTCTAATCAGCACAACAGAATGAGTCAGGAGAAGGCAAAGGCTGCTAACTGTATGAACTAAATACTTCACAGGGGAACTAGAAAGGACAATGCTGTTCACTAGTCTATTCCCAAATGTTTTAGTGCTATGGCAAAAGGGAAAACAGTTGGTCAGATTACTGCGCATAGCAAGTTTGTCTTTGTACCATTTAATGCATCATTTTCTACAGGCAGGAGAATAAGACCACGCTCCAATTCTATTGAAAAAAAAAAAAAAAAAAAAAAAAAAGATTGGCTGGCTAGCTGCTTGAGAACTCTGTACTTAATAGCTAGCTTAGGTTGTGTGCTTGAAAATCCTGCTGGAAACAAGTGTGGACTGTACAGTCAGCTAGGCTTTTGGAACAACCCTGAAGACTAAAGTTAAGGCAGATTCTAGAACTAAGATTAATTTTTCCCTTTTATTAAGAACAGCATATAATCCATCTTACACATTTTTATAAGATTCATTTGCTAATGCGAAATGTTCTGGTTCAAGGCAATTATAATTCCAAATTTCCTTTACAATTACAGGATCCTATAGACTTCATTTTTCTTCTAAGAAATGTAGTACATATTATAAATATGAGTCAAGAGAGACTTTTAAAATACCACATGACTTTCTAATTTTTCTAGTGTAATTTGTACATTCATTTAGTAGAAATGATACTATGCTAATATTTTAGAATTGTAAGAATTAAGGAATAAAAACCTATTTTGGTCGCTGAATTTACTAAGTCTTAGAATTGTTTTAGTCATCATTCAATAAGGTGAGTCTATGCAATATATTTGTATATTAATTCTATCACGTTGCTTACTTTGTCCTTCTCGGTAGACAACTTCAAGTCCTTGGGTAGGTATTAATAAAGACTAGCAGTGGCCCCTCCCCCATGCAATAACCTCACACACTGGGTACATGCGTTTACCTAAAGGAAAAACACCCAAGGGCAGTTTTAATATGTGATTCAAAAGTAATATCTAAAGAAAATTTCTCTCTCTGTCAATGATAATAAAAAAAACCATTCCAGTGGTGAGAGTTAAAATGACATCTTTTGGAATGTAAAAAGCTGTGTAGAAACTTGTCTAGTCAAGCATTATAATTTGATGAACACCCGATACTTTAATAGAAGCACTGAAGTCCAAGGGTCTGCTTTTCCTGATACACAGGGAGAACTTAGATTTTCCATGGGTGTGATATTTACTGTAATCCATGCAGCGGAAAATGAAACCGGTCTTTTCCACTTATCATAGGACCACTGCTGAGAAATGGTAGTAAAAGACAACACTGATTTGGCTACTTTGCACAAAGTAAAAGTTCACATTTCTCTTTTGACATATTTGTACAGAGAACCAAGAATGACAGAGATCAAGTCTTTTGTTAGGAGACAAGAGGAAAACTGGCAAGAAAAAAAAAATAAACAGTTAATTGGCATTTCCCTGCCTGCACCTCAGGTCTTCCCCAGTCTTGACCGCAGAGCCGTGGCCCGCCTGAGGTCGGGCTTGACCCCTCTTCTGGGAGCACTGGAACTCACTGGTCATCATACCTTTCTGTAAGCCATCTGGTCTAACATCACCATCTGTGTCCAGGGTTCCAGAAGGATGAGAAGGATATACTCTTCTGCTGTGTCAAAAAGGTCTTCAAATGGTGGCTGTATTCTCATGTAAATGTCTTTCTTTCCTTCTGGTTGGAGTCCAATATCCAGAGTGGCTGATGGAGCAATATATGTGGCAAAAAGAAACTAAAAGAGAAGGGGGTAGGACAGAGAGGGTATTGGGAGAAGCCACGATGGTCAGCAAACACTTTGGCAAAGATAGCAAAACTATACATGACATAGTAATGTATTTGTCCAAAACAATGTTTTCCTTTTCCACTGGAAATTAGCAACTAGTCATCTTTTCCTCAGATAACAAGTGTCTGAAGATAAATTATGATTGACCGATGCTACCTTTCAAAGTGCTGTCTTTCCTTGGTATTACAGATTGAATGCATGCTAGACAAGTGTTCTACCACTGAGCTATTTCCCAGCCACTGGTCTAAAATATTGTTTTAGCATTCAGTGGTCAGAGGAAGAAGGATCAGTTCAAGATCACTTCAGCTGCAAAGTGAGGTCGAAGTCAACATGAGCTACAGCACTGTCTCAAATTAAAAACAAACATAACACCTTAAGAAACAAAAGCCAAGGTCATATAGGGAGGAAAATCTGGTGAGTCCTCTAATCTAGATGTCAAAGAGATTACCCAGCCTATTTCATTGCAAATTTCTAAGAATGGCTAATTGGTCCCTTTGGGGCATAAAATGTCTCCATCTGGTGTCCCGTGCTATGGAAAGGATACAAGAAGGTTAGGAGTAAATAAGAAGAGATGCATAAAACTGTTCTACTCTTTCGTCTTGCTGCTCAATAATAGCTATTCATACCTGAGAAGCAATTTAAGAACATTGTCAGATCATTATCCCTGAATTATTTATATATGTATATTTATCTATCTATATCTATACAGAGATATAGATATATCCTTCTAAGATATGGGAAGCGCTGATCCTCACATAACTCAGACCTGCAGGATCAGAAGAGCCAGAAGAGGTCCAGGAATCCAAGGGAACTACCAGGAAAGGGCTCACAGCCTCACATGCAGAGCCCCAGGATCTCTGGGCTGCAGAGACCAATGGCTCCTCCTCCTCCCTTCGCAGCACTTGGAACCTGGTAGAGACCGAGAGGAATCTGAGAGCCTCACTGTTCAACTCAGCACAGCTGGCAACAATTAGCTCTGTAAGTATTTGTACTTCTTGTTTGCTGTTATTGAATTTCCGCTCTTGCATTTATTTCTCAGGCTGATTTTGCTTTGTTCATGTGTTGCTCAGTTAGGGCTGTCGCTTACACCCTCCACCCTGTTTGCTCTAAGGCACACTTTACCGCAGTCTTTCAGCCACCTCACATGCCCATCTCTTATGCCAAGTCTGTTCTTCCCTCTTCCGTCCTTATTCCTCCTTTTACCTAACCACAACCTTCCATAGATTTAATAATGTCCCAACTTTCCCCTCCTACCTACTGCATTCAACTCAGTATATTATTTTTTTCAAAGTCATTACTCAGTCTTTCTATTTGCCCACCTTACATCTCTCCACTCCTAATCCTAGGAAGTAAAATCCAAGAATATATCGTACTATCCTTTGTTGTTTAGCCTCCAACAGTTGCTGAGGTCAAAGGGCCACTGTTGCTAACTGCCTAGTGCAATACTCGCACAGTACCACCAAGACGCTGCGGTTTTTCCAGGTTGTCTTACACAGGGGCCGAAAGAGAGCTCACACGAGACACCCTGAGCCCCCGGACTAAGCAATTATCTTCTTAAGGACTCACTACAGCAGACACGCCCCATGTGCACATTGTAAACATTAAAGTGGAGAGCTGATAAAACCGAGCAAGCAACAAATATCTAATGTGTAAACACCAACACAAGAGCACAAGAAATGGGAAAAACCAAGTCAGTATAACTCTTCCAAAACTTATTAACCCGACAGTAGTGGCATCCACTAGGAGAGGTTTAGATGACATCCCAGACAGAACTAAAAATGATTATAAATATGTGCAAAGATACAAAAAGTTGAATGAAAGAAGGAAGATGGTGGATGATAGGGAAGAAGAATTCAGCAAAGAGAAAGATATAATGGGGAAAAAACTAACTTGAAATTTGGGGAGTAAAAAGCATTAAGTCAGTAAAAAACTGGAAGGTTGCAGCAACGAAATGGGTTAAGGAGAGGCAGAGTATCCAAGCTAGAAAACAAGGGTAGAAGTGAAAGTCACAATGTGGTCAAAAACAATGGAAAAAAAAGATGTCAGTGCAAATGTCAAGACATACAGGGTCAAGGCATGCAGACCACGCCTGCAGACAGAGAACACAGGAGGAGAGGCTGGTTCTGACTTGGCTACACAGAGGAACCTTGTCAAGAAGGAAAGAAAGAAAGAAAGAAAGAAAGAAAGAAAGAAAGAAAGAAAGAAAGATCCCAAACCCAAACTTTACAAAGCCAAAATTTGACAAGAATTAATGCATGGCCTTCAGAAATAGCTCTGAATATTAATGATCCCAATTCCTCAGTCAAAAGGCGCTAGGAATTCACATCCAAAACTGGGAAGCATGTATTTGTTGCCTCCAAGAAATATACCTCATCACAAAAGATAGACAATATATTAGGATAAATGCCTGAAAAAAGGCATTCCGCGTAAATAGACGTAGGAATAAACAGGTGACACTGTTCTAACATCTGACAACATAGACTTGAAAACTAGTGAGAAAAGATAAAGGTCACTACATACAATTAGGGAAACAGTCAATCAAGAGGACATTATGATTCAACATGCCTAAAACACTGGTGCACTTCATTATATATAACATATGATGTATATATAATCTAATATATACATTAATAATTTACATCATATATGTATAGATTATATATATATACATATATGATGTAAAGTCACAGATTGACCTAAGCACAAAAGTACCTGGTGACATCATTCCCACACTCACCAAATGACCCCATCAAAAAATGGACAGAAAAACATCTCAATTAAATGACATCACAGACCAAATGGACTTAACAGACATCTATAAAATTTGATTCCATCCAAACAACATAGAATACACATTTTTCTCAAGAACCCATGGAACTTTCTCCAACATAGCTCATATATAAAGTCACAAAGCAAATCTTAAACTCAGGAAAACTGAAATGGCTGTGTATTCTACCTGATTACAATGGGAATAAAAGTATAAACCAACACCAAAAGAAACTCTAGAACACATGCAAACTCATGGGGGTTAGGATCAAAGAACACAGTATTGAACCATGAATAGGTTCAGAAGAAATCAAGAAGGAATACAGACATTCTTGGAATCAAATCCAAAGAAAACACAATATATGAAAACCCATCAGTACAGTGAGAGCCATCCGAAGAGGGAAGTTTGTATCTCTGAGTGCCTGCAAAGCCAGAGTGCAGGACGGGTGAGGCACCTCGGCACATGAGGTGCTTCTGCTCTTTCAGGGGACCAGAGTCTAGTCCTGAGCACCCCCACAGTGCAGCTCACAACTGCCTGCAATTTCAGCTCAAGGGCATTTCACACTCTCTTCTGGTCTTAAAAGGCAAAGCTTTAGGCAAACTAACCAAAAGAAAGAGATAAAACCCAAATTAATAAAACTAGAAATGAAAAGGAAGCCATTAAAATAGATATCAATGAAATTTAGATCTTACCTAAAAATATATAGTACACTAAATTTGGAAAAAAATAGGTAATGGATAAATTTCTAGATACATGTGACCCATAAAAATTAAACCAGGATAAGATAAATAGTTTAAACAGATGTATAATATGCAATGAAATTGAAGCTGTAATTAAAAATCTTCCAACTAAAAAGTTAATACATATATGGTTTCACTAGTAAATTTTACCAGACCTTCAAAGAAGAGTTAACACTGATGCTTTCCAAACGAGTTCATAAAATAAAGGATATTATCAAAGTCCTTTTACAAAACTAATATTTTCCTGATTCTAAAACTAGAAAAAAATAAAACAAAGAAAATTATAGACCAATCTCCCTAATGACTATAGATGCAAAAATTATCAACAAAATACTTGGTAACTAACTTCAATAATACATCAAAAAGATCATTCATCAGAATCAAGTTGGCCTTATTCCAGAGTTGCAGGGTTCAATATATATAAATCAACAAATATTGTAAATTGCATGAAATCACAAACTTATCTGGATAGATGCAGAAAAAAAGAAGATTCTGGAAAAAAAAAATCCAACACTACTTCATGCATAAAGTCCTGAAGAAAAAGAGAAAGAAGATGGCTAAAAGTCTCTATTTTACAGATGATATATATGACTCTATCTATCCTAAGAGATCCTAAAGACTTCACCATCAAATGCTCAGAATGCAAACATTTTTAGCAAAGTAGCAGATACAAAAGTCAGTAGATTTTCTATATGCCAATGACAAACATATCAAGAAAGAAATCATCAAATCAGTCTTATTCAAAATAGCCTAAATTGGCCCACCCCAACATCTACCCTATTGGTGAACCGCTGGAGTACATAAAGGGATGGTCCTATAAATCCAAAATTACAGGATCTCCATGACACAAGGCAACAACAGGATAACCAAGAGGAGTCCCAATGAGGATCCAGTATGGATAGTGTAGCTGAAGACAAAGGCCTGAAACCAGAAAGACTCGTTGCAGTAAACATTGGCAAGCAAAGAAGGGTATACAGTGGCACACACTTTAACACACCACAGCTTCCACAATGAGATTTTTCTTCTCTGTTGGGGGCTGTTGCAAGAGTCATGGGTATGAGGGGAAGGGGGTATGAGTAGGACTGGGGTCCATGATGTAAAATTCACAAAGAACCAATAAAAAGTTTTTAAAACTCAATAAAATATCCTAAAAATACATTTTAATAATCTTAACCAAGGATACTTAAGACTTCTATAATTAAAACTGTAAAAGTCTGAAGAAAGAGCTTAAGAATGACACTGGAAGATGGAAAGACTGTTGAAGGCTGGGCCCCTTTGCTGGATGATCATACCCAAGTGTGGTACTTATTTTCTCACCCTCTTCCTTTCTTTTGCTTTCTAACTAGAACCCCGGGATACTAGGGGTATTGCACCTGAGAAAGTTCTTCTTGCTCAACTATGAGCTGTCACTATGATGATCAGTATAATCCTTAGAAGTAACA